GCAATACAAAACCAATCCACAAAGCAGTGAAATTTCACTGCACCATAAGATGGAAGCTCCTGGCTAGCAAATTTCTTTAGTAGCACTCTTGGATATATCGCCAAAATAGAGACAGTCAAGGAGGGAGGCTTACACTCAAATTTACTTTTAAGATTATATTTAAAAACAAAGCATTCTGCATTTAAATATAGCTTTTCTTGTATTCCACCTTTATGACATACTAGATGGGCTTCCATGGATATTGTGTGAATAAGTCGTTATTAAATCCAGCGTTGCATGTGTCAATTCACATTTGTGAATCAGTTGGAGATAGATGGATGTGTCTGACTGTTTACATCACAGAAGACCTTCTTTGTGTAAGATGTGGTGAAGTAAGTCCTTATATTGAAGGCAAAGATCACCCTTTCCCCATCCCCTGGCAGTTGTAGCAGTGCCTAGCAAAGTGGCATCCTTTGCTGCAGCAGTATAAAAACATGTGGTCTCACTAAACCCAAAATTTTTTGGTGCTCCAAGCCAGATCTTCATATCCTTGTCATGATATGCTCAATCCCCCGTCTTGAAATAAATTAAGACCTGCTCTAATGAAAGATGGGTTTGTGTCTGAACATCAGAAGGGAGGGAAATTTTGTAAAGATGTCACTGAAGGTATGTTGTGCTTCTTCACAACTAATACTTTCGAAGGATATGCTTCTTTCACCACACCAGATGAAATTCTGCTGATGTTTATTTTGAGGCAATGTCATGATAACAGGACAGATGTCTCAGAAGCAACAAGATGTCATTGTTCTGCTAGTGAAATACTGAAAAGAATTAAGAGGTGGCATAAAAATAGTAGGAAAGGCTGATTTAAATCAGAGCTTCCATTCTTAACATCATAACATAAGAATCTGAATATGTACTTGAGTACAATAAATTAACAATGTTTCCTTAAATATCTTAAAGACAGATTACATGTATAGAATCGTACCCAGCAAAGGGGGAGAAAGGACAAGCAAAAGAAACAACAGCATGTGTTGATTTGAGAATCTAGAGCTTTGGAACAGATTTCTAGAGAATCTTGCCTGAAAAGGCAATAAAAGTGATGAGAGATGCTGCTAGTGCCAAAAGGGCTATAGCTAATGGAACCTGATGACTCATTAAAAATGAGGGAAAAATGAAGAAGAATCCAGCGTTTTACCAGCTGTGCTGGGATCAGGCTAGAGCACTCTCTGACACCAGCCTTGGAGTGCTGCAGGTTTGCACACAGACTCAAAGGGAATTTTTTTTCTTTCCTTTAAGAAGCAGGTGGCTACACCACAGAAAATAATAATAGCTGCTGGTGGGAGTATTTGCTAGAAACTGAAGAATCACACACTTCAGGTACATAATGCTTAAGTGACACTTAACTTCCCTGGCATATTTGAAAGGGAATTCAGTGGAAATGTTAACGTGGCATTAAATATGTGTATGTGTGTTTAGTTGCTTGGGTGATAGGATGAAAATGTTATTTGGTTAGTAATGTTACGCATTATTCACTACTGTGAATAACTAATAGAAGTAGCATTTGCAGTAAGAGACATAACAGCAATGCACAGTTTTAAATGGCAGAACGTTTAGGAGTTTTCTATGTCTGCACAAGTTTATATGCACACATCATTCTTTAAACTGTAGAGATTTAGCAGCTGAAAGTTACTTGAAAAAAATAACAAAAGGGACTGTTTTTTTCATTACAGAAATAATGGAGACATGCTGAAGTGATAATGTTTTGTTATATGATTAAACCAGTCCAGTGTATTCAGTGCATGTTTCCCTTGTTTATTCATCTGTAAAGCCAGATGATTAACCTTGTTTTATTTTTCCTCAACTCTGGTGAGTGAGACTGAACGTTGCATCCATGCCAAACTGCCGAGTACAAAGCAGGTTATTTAGAGCTTCTGTGATTGTTCTGATTCCTGTTTAAAGAAGCCAGTAAAATTTCATATGTGAGCCTAAAAAGAAACATTTAACTCTGAACTGCAAATAGAAAATTTGTGTGGGGAATAGGAGGCACAGAAAAAAGCAAGCATCTAAATCATCCTTGAGAGATGGTTTAAGGCCCTGCCTAATTTGTTTGGAACTCAGACCCTGGTCTGCAGTGTAACTGGTGTTTGTTTTGTTCAAGTCATGCCAGGCCAATATTCTGTCTTCAGAAATGCAAGTGAAAATCACAGGCCACAGCTCCTCTGTGAGAGTTTTGGTGATACTGTCTTCATGCTCTCTGCTGTAGAGAAGCTAAATGCAAGCTAATATGTTGCAAAGTTTCTTCTCCACTCATGAGACTTGGAGCTGTGCTCAAATTTCTAACAGGCAACGCTGAATTTTACCTAAGAACGTTTGCTACAGTGTCTTCTCGTCTTTTATTTCTTATGAGGCATATGTGTCATCTGGTATATAAAGAAATTGCTGTTTGTATGATCTAAAGGTAATCTATAGGCTGACAGAAGTATATTTATCACCATGAGGAAAGTGACCACTAATAGACGCAAACTTAGTGCAGTAATTGCTATCTGTTGTATGAAACCTGTTTTAATGTCTCTTAACTTCATTCTTTCTTCTGCTCATTATCTTTGTCTTTGATCAGATCTTTCTTGTGGGATGGGGACACTACATGTGTTTTCACTGGCGGCTGGCAGACCAAAGTCTGCTCACCAGGTGTGTCTAAACAGCTGTCTTGTCCTTGGAGAAAACATGGCACATCAGCTTAAGCTGTGAAAAAGACCTGACAGCTGAGCATCTCTTTCTGCAAATGGCTGGTGATGACAAAGCTGTTGATGGATATTGGTGCGTCTGGCAATACTTGGCCCTGCTGCTTTCTCTGGGGTGAGAAGGTGGGGATGCCCAGAAACCTGGGAGAGCCCCAGGTTGCCCCTGTGCTAGTGTGTGTTAAGGGCATGAGGCAGGGGTGAGGGAGGAGGGGGGAGCTGCTCAGTGCTAGACTGCAGGTGTGTGGAATACAGGCTAGCCTTTATATTAGTGTGGGTGTTTTCTGTTTGTTTGTGGTGGGTTTTTTTGTTGGTTGGTTTGGTTTGGTTTTCCTGTTGAGAGCAGTGAGGTATTGGATGGGGTATTAAGCTGCAGAGCTGCAGCTGTCAGAGTTGCAGAACTGCTGCTTAACCATCCAAGTGTGATTAGTTATTTAATCATATGATCTAGCAACCTCATTATGAGAAGGTGACCGCCTTTACTGTTGCACTGGAGTTTGCCTGCACACCTATGAGAGGAAGAGCCCAATCATTATGCTTGGGCAAGGTCGCAGCTGCTTGGGCAAGGTTACAGCTTCTTGGCCAGGTTGGTGCTTTGTGGGTGAAATGCGTGAGAGGACTTGCAGCAAGTTCACCAGATGTGTCACAGCTTCTTTTGCTATTTCTGTAGAAGACAGTTATTGATACCAGATGTATGGCCTGTATGTGGAAGCACGTGCATTGCATACGTTTCTAGGTGTAGTTTATATTGTATACAACTGTTCGTGAGGGACTATTTGGCCCTAACATGCATTCTTGCCACTGTGCAAATCCTGGAATATAAATAAATTTAGTTCCTGGCCTTTAATGTTTCCTTAAATATATATTTTGAAAAGTTCTCAGGCAAACATGTCCTGTAATGATAACTGCCTGGCTAAACTGATTTTCAGGAGTCAGTTTGATTGAAAGGGACTGAGGAGGTCTGAAGGCAACAGGAAAGACGTATTTTTCAAATGCTCTGTTTAGCAGACAATAATGACCGCCTGTAGTCTACCAGCTATTTCCTCATTTCCTCCTTGTTTTATTTTTCACAACTGAAGTAGCAGTTTTTCTGTACCAGAACAGATCTGGCTGTATCAAAGTTCCTGTGTGGTCACTGGTAGCAACTAATGAACTGCCTGCAAATCTGACAAGTTTGAAAGAAAACTCACAATGAACTAAAATAATAATTTTTAAATTATTTTTGTTTCTTGTGAAGCTTGAATTTGATGGGTTGGAAGGCTTTCTCTGAGTGCTGTGTTTTAAAAGGTTATGTTTTTATAGGTTAAGAGGTCATTTCAAGCTTTTATTTTCAGTAAGCTCTAAGTTCTTTCCCCAAATATTAGTTTAATTTTGAATTGCTGCAGCAGTTTGGTGTTTTTCAGTCCTATCAGATACAATTTTGAGGTATTTCAGCTATGTTTTATGCTTTATGACTTTTTTTCTGATTAACTGAAGTATGCTTTCAGGTTTATGTTCTCCGGACTCTATTTTCACTGTTGAATGATAACAGTGATCAAAGGTTGTTTCAGGCAGGCAATGTTTTTTTCCAAACAAAAATAATGCAAAGCCTACTTGGGCTCTGCAGAAATCTCAACATAACAAATAACTTGGTTTAGTTTTAATTTTACATTTGTGTACCTTATCATTAGATTGTGCCTGTTCAGATTTTAGAATGTATTTGTATCTACAGGGTGAATATAGGTTGCACTGTATGAAGAAGCAGTTGTGGTGTGAAGGGGCCATGATAAACCAAGGCAGATTAAGAAAAACGTGTACTCAGACCTACAGATAATCTTTAAATAATTCACGTAAATTTACAAATGCCTTATTTTTATTCCCTATCAAATGTTCGTCATATTTCTTCAGATGACTCCCAATTTTATATTTTACATTGTTCTAAAGGACTGCTCGGGTAATTTCAGAAGGAAGGAAGCATTTGTCTAAGCTGTGATTGATTACCAGGTAAGAACCATAATAATGAACTCATCAGTGGTATTAACGTGCTCAGAAGAGCTGAAAGAAACAGAGGCATTAGGCTTCGTTAGTTATGGCTATAGCTACTAAAGGCAGTTTTGATGCCCTGCAGAAAAATCTTGGGTGTATTGTGGCGGTCTAGATGGAGTATTTGCTGACTCATAAAGCTCCACTGAGAAACCAGGAAAAAGGAGAGGAGAGCAGCATCAGTACTGCCTGCACTTACCAATCACAACTTGCATTCTGCCAGGACAGCCACATAGCTGATTAAAAAATCCAACGTACCGTAGGCCATAAAGGACTGTCCCATCTGGATGGAGTCGAATCATTCTGTTTTTCACTGTCACCCCATGGACAAATGACTTCTTGTCATTTTGGAAATACGTGTCCGGCACCCAGAGCTGGTCAGCCACTCTGTTGTCCAGAGTTAGGTTCAAAGGTATTCCAGAATAAGAGAGCCTTTTATCCCTCCAGGACTGCTGGAAATACATGGTCAGGGTGTAGTCCTAGGGAAGAAATAAGAAGGGCTTTTTGTATTTTGCGTACTGATTACCTTAACAAGTTTATTTTTAGATGACTCTCAGTAACTGAGTATCAGTAGCAACAGGAAGTTTAAGGATTGGTAAGATGATGATGATGATGATGTTATTAACCATGATTGTAAGTCTTGGCCTGTTCATGTTAATGTTGAACTTCACACTAGTCACCAATGGCAGTGGTCCCCACAGGCTTTCAAAACCTCTTAAGCCGGAAGGAATACATGGTACATTTGGGTCTCCAGTCTGTGAATCACACTAGAACATTTTTTGATAGTGTTTTTAATGTGAAAAGAGCAGGGTTTAGCTGACCTCAGCCAAATAGCATGGCATATCAGGGAGGATATTCTTTTGATATTTCCTCCCTTCATCCTGAAAGATTCCTCCCACAATCCAGAAAGGCCAGCAGTCCCTAGACCTTCTGAGAAAGAGCAAATATGACCTCAGGACATATAATGGACAACTTCACATTCTGCATCTGCTGGAGCTGCCAGGTGTAATGACCTTAGCTAGCCTGACACATCTCGCCTCAGCCTGGGAAATGTGGTGCTTTCTGTCCTTGGCAATCGGATGTTACCACATAGAAAATGAACATCTCCTCTTAACTATCACATTGTAGCTTAGGGGAAATACCATTTATGTAGTCCTTCAGCTTTCACTGCAAATAAATTGTTCTAAAAGGTTTCTGGTCTGATTTAAACTCTTGTGTCTGTCTTTCTGGGACTGTGGTGATTTTAAATGTAGTCAATTTTTTAAAGTGGAAAAGCCTGTGCGCTTTGTAGCTGCTGGAGTTCTTAAAAGATGACTGGAACAGCAGTATATGGACTATTAGTTTTCTCTCCCTCATGTTCCACCCCCCCCGCCTGCTTTTCAAGTGTCAGGTCATTTTGTCACACATTTTTACTGTAGAAGTGCAGCAAAATTATAGATATTATTGGAAAAAATTGGTCAGGTGTAAAATTTTCCTTTCTGTGAGAGAAAGCCTTACCTCTGTCATCCTCACAAATCCTAGACTGGACCCTAATTTTTGAAGAAACAGAGAACATAAAAGCTGTCTGATGTGATTTGGTCTCTTAATCTTCAGTGGCTTCTTAAAACTGTATTGTTGCCATGAAATCAAAGGAGCATTGTTACCTTTCAAAAAGACTTTCTGCTGGAAATGTTGCATATACAGACCCAGAGACCAGATGGGAAATGGACGAGAAAAATAAAAATAGGAAGGGGAAAAAAAAAAAAAAATCACTATTCTAGTGCAGTTTTGGTATGTTGTATCTATTTTCTAGCGTGTCCTATTTCAAGCAAGTTTAGGTAGAAAAGCTTTTGTACGTGGCTGATAAAGTTAAATCCTCAGTGCTCCGTGCTTCACTTGGTATCTTCTACATCATCTGCCTGATTCAGCAGAGCCTATGCAGTTTGCAGCACAGATGGAATAGAAATTCCAGTTATACATAATTATCTTTTTTCCTTCCTGCTTTCCTTTATATTTTCACTAGATCTTAATGCTGCTTCTGTAGAACTGTCTTGCTGTCCTGGAAAAAAGCTAACAATTGAGAGTGGTGCCTATGTGATGGTTCTCAAAGCTCAACCAAGAGAGAAAAATAGCCAAGATAAGCTACAAGAAATCTTAAAGATGTGATCAAATGGAGAGGGGAAAAAAAAAAAAAAGGAAATTCGATCTCTTGGATATGGCTAGTAGGAGAAAATTAGTTGCTATTTTTAGCATCATAGTCTGCTGGATGAGATTTTGTTTCATCCAGCTGTGCTATATCCAGCATACTGCTATTGGTAACACTACGGTAGAGAGCATGATCTTCTGCCCTGCAATTGTGCTATACTAGGTAGAAGTATGTGTCAAGCCAGCAAGTGTTAATGTGGAAAAAAAATCTGAGCTTCATCCTAACGGAATCTCAGTGTTTAACCTGGAAAGAATTATCTATTTTTTTTTTCCATCCCCCAGAATGGGGGGGGGTGTTACTCCTTCAATATTTTAATGACGAAAATAGAGTCCTATGTTATGATTGTGAGTCCCTGTTGCTGTAAGTTCTTATTTTAAAAAGGGTAGTTAAAGGTTATTTTAATGAAAACCAAATTATATCTGAGCTATAATATAGTTATAAATTTCCTATTTCTTTTTAATGGAATACAGCCTTGTGTTTCTCATATTTCATCACCGAAAAATGAAATGCTGGCAAATGACATGGCTAGCCACATCTTGGAGGTTTTTGTATTATTTTTTATATTTTACAGTGGTGTGAGTGAAGTGAGGATTTAAGAACTACTAGCCTTCTCCTCTACAAAACTTGCTGGGGATTTTGCTGTTTCAAGCTCTAGAGTGTATGAATAATTTCTGAATCTTTCATATCTATAGTGGTAATTGGCTGAAGAAATTTTTTAGGTTTTTATGACAGCTTCCTAAGATCTCAAGCATCAGTCTAGATATGAAAATAAATCAGACTATGTTTAACTTCTGTATCTCTAATCATGAGGTAAAAAAGCAGGGCCCAAGGTAAAATTACAAAAGAAAATCTGTTTCTGCTTTTTAAATGATTAAAAAACCCCACACCTATTTAACTTTTTTTAGAAGCATACTGAGTATTCTTTGATTCTTTGCCTATCTATACTTCCTATAATAAAAGCAAAACTTGTAATGCTGCTGAAAAATCGTGACATTTCAGTAGATTTAATTGAGCTGTCTATGCTTTCCACAAATGCCTCCTTGCTTTACCAGAGCACAGCCTACCTTCCTAGTGGTAAACGTTTCATCACTAATGGTAAAGTTGTTTTGATGTGTATTGATTTGGGGTTTTTCAGTGTGATGAATTCTGACTTATTAGAATGAGATGGTTTGTTTTTTTTTTTTTCCCTTTCTTAGTAATTGTGCAAATTTCTTATTTCTTTGTATCAAACTGGAAATGTGTAAGTGATATAGATGTGTAGTAAACCATGTAAGCCAATCTGTGTATCAAACAGTGTTTTAATAAGATGCATTAGGTTGCTAAGACAAATACATGCTAGTCCTAGGTAAGAGGGATTCTGAGAAAATGTGAGTAAGAGAAACTAGCTTATTTTACTCAAAATGGCAAATTATTTCTTAGTCTCAATTTAAGCAGCCTCATAAATAAATATTGGCACCAAGCTTCACAGTTCACTTGGGTAATATAAATTTCTTGTAGTAAAGAAAATGAATGGACCAGTGATGCATATTGTACTGGAAATTAGCAAAACAATTTATAGTTCCAGTAAGTAATAGACTGGAGAGTTCCCATGCAATACTGTTTCCTTTTTATCTCTCTCTTTTTTTTTTTTGTGGCTCCCTAATCTTTTTGTGCAATATGTATAGATGATGAAAGGACAATAATGGATTTTTTTCTTTCTTTATAAACCTCTGTAGCTCTCTGAAACCAGTAGAGAGGCATTAAAACAGCTAGATAATTTGGACTTTGCTGGTAATTTCCACTGTGTGGTCTACCAGTTCAGTACAGCAGAATATAATGTGGAATAGATTGTTATATTATAATCTAACCTTCTGGAAAACACAGAATTGGTACTTCACCATGCTTATCAGTTGAATTATGGGCTTTGGTGGAATAAAAGAAGTTTACATGTCTGCTCTACTGGTAGTTGATTCATCTTTCACAAATTCCAGACATACATGTTTTAAGGGGAAAATAGGGAATCTTTTAACTTGTAATGTTCAGCTTTGTGATCTAAAAGACCTTTTGTATTTTTCCTCTTTCTAAGGTGGCCTCAATCTGTTATTCTTTCATGTATTGAAAACCAGCTTAGCACATTGTGATATATTTAATTAATAACTGAACATCAAAGCACACTCCAGAAGTCTTACTAGCTAAAAATTAACAATATGGATGCAGTTCTTAGCAAAAGATAGTTAATGGAAGAATATTTTGTGAATAGCTGTTCTAGGTCAATTCAATATCAAATGTTAGATCTCTAGATGAGTTTGCCAAGGAAGGTGTTGTGCAGCAAAACAAATACATGAAACATATCAGTGTCATACTTTTAATAGGTAACTGTTTATTGGTAGTTGTAGGGTGTATAACGTACACCCAAACAATATTAAATTTAAATTATATCCTTGAGAACCATCCAATAACCAAATATCTGGCAGCATCACAGAAAATGAGATGCAATGCAATTCAAATATAGGATAACTTAAGACAAATGCAACTGAAATTACAATTTAAAATTAAATATGGAGTGATGATCAGAATACTAGTATTGACTGCAATAAAGCAACAAAAATAGAACACAATATATGTCAATCCTTCTGTAACTGCAAGCTGTTATTACTGGGGAAGATTATTTTCCGCGTTTATCTGATGCTAACAAGAATGGGAAGGGCAGAGTTTTGAGACAATGGCAAGTGTTGAATTTGCAAATTGTAAAAAAGCATAGTCATTCATATGTTGTAAGTGTGCTTATGCATCAGAAGAAGCTGTTAGCATTTGTTTAGCAACGGTTAGCTGTCCTATCTTAGAACGCCTAGAGAAGATGTATACACTCACCTGCAAAATATCTGTTTTTCAGATAAGAGAATGCAAATGGCAATGTGTTTTCTTGGGTGTGGTGGTTTTTAGTGTGTTTTGTATTGGGTTTTTTTTGCTTGCTTGTTTGTTGTTGGTTTTGTTTTGTTTGTTTGTTTTAAATCCTGATTAATTTCCCGTATAAACTTGGTGCTCAATTGTAGATAATGCAAATGTAGATACTGCAAAGAAATTATGTGAAAAAGTTTTAACAAAAGTTATGGAAGAAGAAAATATTGGTTCTACTCATGTTCTTTAAAAATGTCAGGGCAGCTACATCTCTTTATTAAGTCTGCAGTCCAGCCAAGCAAGGAAGCCAGGGAGTTAGGGATGTGCATGCTAGAGAATCAATTGTATTTGCCTTCCTATCTAAGGATGTAGTTCAGTGTTCCTTTTGGTTTTGTTTTCAAGAATGACTGATGCAGCATATGTTATCCAGTTCCCCTCTTCTGCCCAATGCAGTGGGAGGACAGGGGAAAGAACTTGTAGTCAAATTATTCAGTGCACTGGCCTGGTCACAGGAGGCTGTGGTCCTTGTGAATTACACTTCCATCAGAGGAAATGAGATAGGAAACTCCATTGACTCCAGGATAATAGAATAAAAGTCTTCTGTTTTCCTGAGAGAAGCTGTTTGGTTTTTTTAATGGGATCAGAATTTTCCCACAGCAAGCTTCAGTTTTACAGAAATCACGTTTTCTGTCAAAAAATTGCAAATAATTTATAGATGCGAGATTTCTGTAGGAGAAAAAGTTGTGCAAGGTGTTGTTTTGTTTGATCCAATTGGTGGTTGTAGCTGCTAGTGAAGTGCCTTGCGTTGCTGTTTTTCAAATGCGTTGACAATTCTCCAGAGTAATGTTTCATAAACCTTTTTGGCATTTATAACTTCACAATTAAATTAAGACACAACATCACAGTTGTGTCTTACAGAAAGAAGCAGAGATCTGGCAGGAGTCCGCATAGCTGTAATGATGATGTTCTTTATTGCTCAAAGCACAGCCAGGAACAAGATTAGTCATTATAAAAGTAGTGTGTTGGAAATGAAGGTGCTCATCATTACTGTATTGGGATCCAATATTACTCTTTGCAGTCAAGGCAGAAGTCCCTTTAACTGTAATGGGATTAGAATTATATCAAATGGCTTCAATCATTTCTGAAAAAGCAAACCAAAAGGCAAAATGTTTCTCAGTTACAACAGCAGACTACGTATTTTTTTGCATTTTGTTCAGTGCTTTAGTAATAATACTTAGCAGAAGTATTTATTACTGCTTCTGGGATTTAAATGGGTTGATATTATAGTTGTGTTCCATTGGCTCAGTGTTGTTTAACATGGAGGAGGGTAAAATCCCAATTTTATCTTGTGTGTTCTCCTTTGTCTCTTGGGGAGAAGAGTAAGGACTCCTCCACTTTGGATCAATATCCCATTGCCTTGCCCTCTGCTTTTTTTTTCTCTTATTTGAGCTTTTCTAACATGGGAGGCCTGAATGTGCCACTTCTTTGCATAGGAAGAAAAGACATGATGTTACTAAATACTAATAGGGATTGCTTTGATTAGGAGTGGACTTGCCTAAACTTAGCAGGAAAGTAAGGTAGCAGGTAAGGTAGGCTTACAGATATGTTGTTATCCTCACTGCATGCTGGAAGCTCCTTTAAGAAAGCTTGAAAACCCCTACAGCACTCTCACCTGCACTTCAAACTTCCATCCACATTACCCACTGTCTGGGGTAGCAATGCGGTATGGCAGTATAACTTTGCTTTCAGCACAAATTAATACTATGTCTGTCTTAAGTGGCTATGCTAATTGCTGACAGAAGAATCAACACGGTATGATTCATATTCCCTGAAAGATCAATGAACTGCTTTTAGTACCTGCAGGAAACTAGTAATCATATCTATTCCCACACTATTCTATTTTGGTTTTGAAGCTGGTAATCTTTTCTACAGAGAGGCTAATACTGCCATAAAGATGCTTGAGGGGAGGGGTGGAAAACAGGAAAAATATGGCACAGGAGATATATGTGCTTAAGTAAGATGGTGTTGTAATGAATGCTGGAGTAAACAAATACAAGTGTACTGGCATATAGAGTAACTATATTCAATGTGTGCATGTATTTTTACAGGCAGCAAATAAGTGTCCTGTATATTTTGGCTCCAGTGAGAACACCTGGAGCTGAATAAAGAACAATTGAAGAGAAAACAAAAGAACAGAAAAGCTTCTTACTGGCAAGTAGCCTATAGACCAACATATGTTAATCCATATCTAGATATATGTTTTAAGAGCAAATGTAGACAGCAATAAGAGACATGTTATCTCTTAGACATTTCTATCTGTGAGGCAGCTGAAAGCAAGTTTTTGCCAAAAAACCCAACCAAACCCAAGTTGTCCAGCTAGTCCATACCTGTCTGTCTTTATCTGAGTAGTCCTGTTAGCGTTCAAGTCCGGGTATTAGCAACTACAGCACAAAGGTGTTCTAGGTATATGTGCTTTGTGATGAAGTCGAGGATGTTCTAGGATTCTTCCGTGAGTTATGCAAAAACTTGACTGTTCATATGCAGGTATGAAAGGGAATGGTGGGATGGCATTTGAGGACTGTGACATTGTGCCCACATAGTGCTGTTCTCATCCTCTCTGCAAAGCAGGTGGAGCAAGCACTCCAAGGCAAAGGAATTTCAAGCTTTAACTTATGCTCCAAAACAATTCAGTCAGTTTAGGCTGGAAGTAACAATACACAGGAGTGGGACTGGGCATTTGGGAGGACACTGTACTAACCAGGTTCTTGTGTGGACTACGTGGAGATGGATCCTTACTGACTGGAGGACTGAATCTTAATGAGGTGGGCATAGATCAGCTCTGATGGTCTACAACATGGAATGTGATGTGAAGAGTAAAGCAAACTAAGAAAAAGCTATATTGGAAGGATGCAGCGCTTTAAAGTTCCCATGAAGGCAAAACATTGTGAAAGAGTG